GGCTTCTCGGCGCGCGAGAGGGGTGGGGCTGCGGGCGGGGCCGAGCGCCTAATTGGGCCGCGGGCCGTAGGGCTCCGCCCACTCACGGGGTGGGACAGAAAGGGGGCGGGGCCTCTGAGGCAAGCCCTGGAGCCCGAAGAAGGGGGAGACTCAGGGAGCGAGAGACAGAAACACCGAAATGGGGAGGAGGCTAGAAGCTGAAAACCAGGGAGAGGCTCCCAGAGGAAGAGTAGAGTAGGGACCAAAAAACAAATGGAAGAGAGGGCCACGGGAGAGCTAGAGAGAACCGAGGGGGACCGAGAGAGGAGAGGCCTCGAGGATCCGTCACGAGGAAAACCGAGAGGGACTGAGGAAGGCGCAATGGGCCGCGTCCCGCAGGGGGCGGAGATGAGGAGGGGTTACCTGGGTCTGCAAGGGACAAAGAGAGCGACTGAGGGGAGGACGGAGCGGGGAGCGAGAAGGAAGGACAGGAAGAGGGTTGTGAGAGGGGAGAAGAGGGGAAGGCAAAAAGGAGGATAGGGGAAGGCAAAAGGAGGATAGGGGAGGGGGGCCATCTCGCACCCTGGCCTTGCAGACTACCCGTCTGGGGGACGGTCTACCTGTCAAGTGCCCAGCAGGTTCCCGAGTACTGACAGCAGCAGTCCTCTCCTCTTTTCTGGCTCCTTACTCCTTACTGCTCCCGGGCCCGCCTTTCCCCAGGAGGGCTAGATCTTGAATCCCCACCCCGACAGGGCTAGTGACCCAAAGGACACGTGCACGGTTATTAGCGTAAGATTTGTACAGACCCTCTTTTCCTACTATAGCCAGCCCAGGCTGGCTGCTTTTTTTTGGGACCCCCTTCCTCTACCACTGATCACGCCCTTTATCCCTGATACTAGACAACGGAAAAATGGGAATCTTAAGAAAGTGAGCACCCCTACATTATTTCTCCGTCTGAGAATAAGAAGACATCCCTGGATGGTGGCCTCCTTTCCCAGCCACCTGGACGGGTTGACCCCACCCAGCTCCTCAGCCCTCCTCCTTCACCCTCCTCCGTGGGCTCCATAACTCTTCTCCTCACCGGGTTGTGCGAGCTCTCCTCTTCCTCAAATGCAGTAAAGTGTTTATGTTGCATAAACTGAAATGTGTCTAATTCCATCAAAATATTTGTCACATCATTTGAGGCCCAGCTCTTACTGCTCCACTGCAAGCCCACCAGGGAGGGCTCTGCCTTTCCGAGCAGGGCTGGCTGCTGGAAAGGGACCCGCCAGCTTCTTCCTTCTCTCTAGAGAGACCTCTCCCTGCTCACCCTCTCCCCTTGCTGACCCATCCTGAAGTCCATAGAATTTTCTGGCCTCTCCTACCCATAGTTGAGCTGTTTAGCCCTGCTAAGGGCTGGGAGGAGGAAAGGGGCAAGGAGATATCAAAAGGGGGCTGTGAGAGGGGATATCAAAAGGGGGGCTGTGAGTGGGAATATCAAAAGGGGAGCTGTGAGAGAGTACCCTCCAAGCGTTGAAGACTGAGCCCAGGTTAGCGTTCCCCACCGCCAAGGAGGGAGGTTAAAAATGTAATAAATGACATTTATGCGGGGCTTACTGTGTGTCAGACTCTGTGTTGAATGCTTTACATACGCGATCACACTTGATCTTAACAACAATCTAAAGAGGCAAATCTCATCATTATTCTCTATTTACGGATGGAGAACTGAGGCTCTGGAAAGACTTGCCCAAAGTCACACAACTTATAAGTGGTAGAGCCGGGATTCACACTGGTAGTCTGGCTCCAGTTCTTAAAGCTTCAATTCTATTGGGTCTCTAGGCACAGTTTACCGCCCAAAGGGAGGAAGGTGTTTAGTACAGAAGGTACTTAAGGTAGCAAACCTCCTCCGGCTCGGGAACAGCGGTCCTCAGCTCTCGGGCTATCAGTCCAGTTTCCTGTCCTCCACGGCGGTCTCCCCAGTATATCTCCCCTAACAGCGACAGGGCTGGTGACCCGAGGGACACGAACACGGTCATTAGTTTAGGATTTGTATAGAGCCCCCCTCCCCTAGTACACACGCACACGGCCCCTCCTCCGACACGTCGCTGGTGCTCGCCGGGCCCCCACAGCCCTCTCACTACCCGCAGGGCAACAGCGGCTGGCTGCCCCTACCCCCACCCCCACTCAGCGCTTGCTGTGTTTCGGAGAGGCGCGCACCGCGGCAAGCGCCCCGCCCCCTCGCCTGCCAGCGCGCCCGCTCCCCTGGCGCGGTGTGGCGTCTCTGTCGGCCCAGCCGGATTCTCCCCGCTTCGCTGGAGTGGAAAATAACGGCTTCAAACTTTGCAGAGAGGAGCTGGTGCCAGCACTTTAATTAACAGCCATCTTGGCCTGCGAGCCTGGGCCACCCGCTCCGCGCCTCCCACGGGCTCTCCAGGTCCCGCCCCGGCCCCGCCCAGGTCCCGAAGGAGATACCCCTCTCCTCCTCCCATCCCAGGTGTGGGGCCCTCTGCGCTCTACGTCCCTTTATCCGCGGAAATGAGATTCTGGCTGATTGCCAGGCGGCACTACCTTGCGGGACGGCTCCCCAGCTTCATTCCTGAAGACCCACGGATGTCCCACACCTCAAACTCTCTAAAACCTGGCAGTTGAAGATTCTGGAATTAGAGACTTACGTGCCAATCCCAGCTGATGAGTTTTAGGCAAGTCACCTGACCTCGCAGGGTCCAGTGTCCTCCTCCGTAAAAAGAGTTTGTTGTAAGAATTAAATGAGGTATAATCTATGTAAAGTACTGGGTTCAGCATCTGACCCTCCGGTATGCATCCAGTAAACGGTGGCTAATATAATTATTTCACCTTGAGGCTAAGCAGGCTTTCTCGCCACCCCGGGCCTTCAGTCTCCTCTGTCCTGCCATCTTTCTGCAGATTGTTGTACTTGGCACTAGAAGAGGGGGGACAATGGACCTACCTTTCCAGGTTTAGAGAGGGAACTAGACGAGTGAGGAAGAAACCCTGCACTCCTAGCTCCCAGGCTAACCTCCAGTGAAGACCAGGGACCCAGATTTTCAAAAAAGAGAAGGGCGGGGGGGAGGGCGGGGGGCGGGGCAGGGATCGGCACTCTCTGCAGTTGGGATGCCCTAGGGTTTGGTTTTCCTTTCCCTCCTATGGGTGGGACCTCCTTCACTCCTACAGCCCCCATCATTCCAAGATGTTGTGTGGAGGGGGCAGGGAAGTGGGTAAGGGTCTTTATGCATGGCTGACTTTAGGAAACTGAGTGGCTGTTCCGTGTTATTTTGGGGTTCTTTGAATGAATGTGAGTGGGTGTGACTGTGTAAGAGATTGTGTTTGTGTTAGTGTGTCTGGGTTTGTGAGTGATGAAAGGGTGTGCTGTGCCCTGACTCATCAGCTAGCAAATCTGCATTCATTTATTCACTTGTTCATTCAGTAAATATTTACTGAAAGCACCAAGCTTCACACTGCAAGGTGGTAGTGGTCGTGTGTCTAAAAATGAGTAAGACTTGAACAGTAGCCCTGAGGAACTCACTGTTTGGTAGGGAGCATGGGCAGAAAGAAGTGATAAATGCTATGATTATTATCGTAGGTAACATTTTTTGAGCACTTACTGCAGATTCCTGTTCTAAGTAAGCACTTTTGTGGATTCCTCATCTGGATTTAATAACCTATTATAATGGATTAAAAAGCATTACATCACATATCATTTAATATCAGTAACCTCATGAGGTAGGTGCTATTATTTCCCCCATTTTATAGCTGAGGAAACTAAGACTTGGGAAGAGGTTTGTACTGGGTATTATGAAGGACTGATGAAGAGCTCCCCCCAGGGGAGTCCAGGAAGACTTTACAGAGGAGGTGTTCCTTCTTCCCTCCATCCATCCATCCTCTATCTATTCTGTAATTCTATGTTAATTGACTCTTGTTAGCCCAGGACATCAAGAAAAGCTTGTCCTCATGGAGTTTACAGTGTATCACAGGAAGCTGGACAATTGAATAAGCAATTGCTATCCAGCCTGACAAGTGCGCTGCCTGGGAATATGTGGGTTACGATGGGAATACTCAGCAATGTCACCTAAATTCATCTGGAGGCAGGGAATCATGGGAGATTTTCTGGAGGAGGAGATATTTAAATTATGCCCTGATGGAAGAATAAGAGTCAGTAAGATGAAGGAAGGAGGATGACCACTAGAGGTGGAGGAGGGAGGGAAGGCGGGAAGAGTGTTCCAGGCAAAAGGAACAGCATATGCTAAGGCTAGGTCTTGCAGAGCCTTGTGGGCTGTGACAAGGAGTTTATCATTTATCCTAAGGGCAATAGGAAACTACTTAAGTGTTTTAAGTGAGTGAATGATATAATCAGATTTTTTAGATTAGAAGGATCACTCTGGCTGCTGTTGGGAGGAGGGTTTGAAACAGAGTAAGAGTGAAGGTAGGGAGATTATCTGGAAGGCAGATGCAGTGGTCCAGGTGAGAGTTGATGGTGGTCTGACCTGGGAATGCAGGAGGCAGATTGGATGGGGTGGAACGGAGAGAGGCAGGAGATTTCCAGGTTTCTAAAAGGGTCTTGAAATGTTTATTAAATGAATGATGGATGGATGAATGTTGTTAGTATCGCCTGGGTACCTGATATATATATGCCAGGTGCTTTATATACTGTATTTCATTTAATCCTCACTAGAAGTCTGAGAAGTAGGCATTATCATTTCCATGTAGTAGATGAGGATGCTGAGGCTCAGAGAGGTTAGATGACGTTCTGGGAATTACA